CTTTTAGGCAGATTCAAAATCATCCTTTGAGCGCCAAAAAACTTTGTATCCTTTTAGGTGAGCCATTTTTTCCAACAGTTTGGAGGATGCCAAAATGGACACAAGCGACGTCGATGACGTTGTTCTTGTTGGTGGGTCTTCTAGAATCCCCAAGGTTCAAGAGCTATTGCAGGAGGTTTTCAAGGGTAAGGAGTTGTGCAAGAGCATTAATCCCGATGAGGCCGTGGCGTATGGAGCCGCTGTTCAAGCTGCAGCCTTGAGTGGGAACGTAACTGGGAAGCTTCAAGACTTCACTCTCTTGGATGTCACCCCTCTATCACTTGGACTCGAGTGTAAGGAACGTGATAGTTCCAGGTTATACATGAATGTTGTGATTCCAAGAAACTCAAGAATTCCGGTGAGGAAGACAACAAGTGTAACTACTTCTTATGACTACCAAGAGTCTGTTAGATTCTCCATTTATGAGGGTGAAAGTAGCATAGCCAAAAATAATAATTTTTTAGGTGAATTCACCCTCCATGGAATTCCTCCGGCTCCCAAGCATGTTCCCGCGTTCAGTGTTTACTTTGATTTGGATGCAAATGGAGTTTTGAGTGTCTCTGCTGAGGATACGTCCACTGGCCAGAAGAAAGGGATCAAATTTAACCGTGACAGAACAAAGTAACTCTTAAGGGAATATTGAGGATTAAGATTACATCTACTATGAAGTAATTATTTTCTTTGATTTCATGTTTAAGTACAATATCTTTAAGGGAAGTCGATGTGAACTTCTTTTGCTGGCTGCTTGTGCATTTCGTGATTTGCTGGGTTTTTTTTTCTTGTTCTTTTTTTTATTCTTTGGGTTGGGGTGTGGGGGAGTGTGCTTATAAAAGACTTGCCTGATTTATTTGTAGCAGTAGCGCACACATCTTATAAGTAAAAACATATTTCTTCCTGCAAACATTCAAAGAGCTTCAGTTTTTATTGTTGACTAAATTTTTGTGTCTTGCTCCGTATAATCATCATCAAGGAGATTTGTTATAACGTTGTACAAAAGCTTAATTTGGAAACTATTACATACACAAAACTAGGGCAATTTATCTTCTTTCCTTTTTATACAAACGATGGAAATAGATTTACAAGGTAATTTTATAATGGGTCAACAGATTCACACAACTGTCTAATATACCCACAATAAATCACAACTCACAAATATATATCATCCTCACCATCTATGTGAGTCGAACCTCAGATCTCCTCCAACCAACTGAAGACAAATACCACTAAATTAAAAGTTAGTTGATTAGGGCAAATTAATATTATAGTACTGAATTGTTTTCTTTCAAAAGAAAATTTAATTGAGTCACGCATTTTTTTTAGGACCTTTCCTATTGAGAGAGGTGATAATATACTTAATTTACACACATTATACGGATGTTTGGACTCAAATCTAGGACCTTATCCAAAGAAACAATTACTCCAAACCACTATACTAACTGAAGATAAATACCACTAAATTAAAAGCTAGTTGATTAAGGCAAATTATTATTTATAGTACTGAATTGTTTTCTTTCAAAAGAAAATTTAATTGAGTCACGCATTTTTTTTAGGACCTTTCCTATTGAGAGAGGTGATAATATACTTAATTTACACACATTATACGGATGTTTGGACTCAAATCTAGGACCTTATCCAAAGAAACAATTACTCCAAACCACTATACTAACTGAAGATAAATACCACTAAATTAAAAGCTAGTTGATTAAGGCAAATTATTATTTATAGTACTGAATTGTTTTCTTTCAAAAGAAAATTTAATTGAGTCACGCATTTTTTTTAGGACCTTTCCTATTGAGAGAGGTGATAATATACTTAATTTACACACATTATACGGATGTTTGGACTCAAATCTAGGACCTTATCCAAAGAAACAATTACTCCAAACCACTATACTAACTGAAGATAAATACCACTAAATTAAAAGCTAGTTGATTAAGGCAAATTATTATTTATAGTACTGAATTGTTTTCTTTCAAAAGAAAATTTAATTGAATCACGCGTGTTTTTAAGAATCAATGGAACTTATTTTTTAGAGTCTATGAACGCCATCTATTCACTTTACAGCTAAATGGAAATAATTTCCACTTACTCAATTATTAAAATGCATTCTCTCTCAGTAAGAATACTGAAACGCAGCATGATTGGAAGAGGAGAGATATAAGAGGCACAACCTTTCTTCCTACTCAATGAAGTTCTTTACTTGACCCCAAAGGATAAACTAAAAATTCTTCCTCGCATGAGAGACAGAATGACCATGCAGCTCCAAAAAAAATATATATATATTTTATCTCTTTGTTGAAATATATTTGATTCATTTCCTTGGACGTTGGAAGTAATCATTCCTACTTATTTACCAATTAATTTATGTGCAGAAATTGTTCCTTGTTGTGTAAGTTTGGGCCAAACCGAAACATGAGCTAGGGATTGTTCCTCTTTGTTTATATGTTCACCCAAAATAGCTTAATAATGCAAAAGGACAATCATGCAATTTTTTTATATACTAATTATCATATTTATTTTGTTTCGCCTACTAAGTTTTTCAAGCATTTAGGTTTATTGTTTTATTTTTTTATTCAAGAGATATTGCGAGATGGAGGAATCAAAACAGGATCTAGTACAAAGATGAATGCTCTTAACCACACTTTTTTTTATCAAAGAGAAACTTCATTAGATAAACTTCAATGGTACAATTAAAGACATCAAAAAGACATCTAAAGTGCCAATCCCAAGAGGGCAACCATTTAACATGCTAAAAGCAAAACTAACACGGACAAAAGCCCCACTAAAATTATTAGCCCACATTACCACAATTAAACATAAGCCCAAATAAAGCCCATAAAACCAACATAACCAAAACTCTAAAACAACCCATAAGCCTAAACGAACCCTACCACCACCACCTGAAGAAGCGTCATCGTGGCCACACCTTCCACCACATCCGTAATAGATCTTAGAAAAATATGATTTTTAGCGATCTACCTGTGCATAAGAGTGAACAAATAAACTAAAACAACAACCTTTACAAAGAACAATTGAGTGATTTGCAACAATTTCGTCAAAGACGATGTAGAATCAAATTTAGAGAACATGAATAACGTTAGGGATCGGGTTTTCACTACAAAAAAAGTAGTCATTTGAGACCAATTTTTTCCAAGGAACTCCAAATATCCTCGAAACAAACACTATTTCTGACAACAAAGTACCATCCACCGGATATACGTCAATGAGGTGTTCACTATTTCTGACACCCAAATTGCCCTAGGAAAAGAGTTCTTTTGCCATCGGAAATAACTGTTTTTAGCGAGAAAAATTGGCGCCACATTTATTGAGCACCAAACGCATCCTCATCGATAATAGTTGTGCTTTGTTCTGAAGGAATGTTCACGTTGTCGGAAACCATAACCATTTCCGAGGGAGCTTCGATGGGAATTAGAGGTCGTCGGAACTGATTATTTATTTTCGAGGGCAATCAGTAGCTCTTGCAAAAGGATGTCTATTTGCAAGGGCATCTAGTGGTCGTTGGAAAAGACTATCTAAGTACCCAATATATACTTTTCCACCATTCCAATGTGTTTTTTTTTTTTTTCTTAATATGATTACTATTATGATCATCTAATGTTATATGTGTTTACTTTCTTTGTATTGACAATAAAAAGGGGTTTCAAACTTTGACAAATTTTCACCATTTGAAAAAAGATCAATACCACACTAGCCAATGACTAATTGGTGTAATGTGTGTTTACTTTATGTTGGTTTTTATATACTAATTACTAAGTTAAACTTAAATGAAGTTTAAATATCCAGTTTCTTAATGTTGACAACCATATATTAGAAAGCTTAGAAATCTAGTACTATCGATGTTCTCTCAAAAGCAATCTAGTATGTACTTAATTGAGCTTTTAGCATAAAGAGGATCTTACGTTAGTTGTTTCATCATTTGCTTATAGTTCAATTCAATGTTTTAGTTATACATGTACACTATATGTATAATCAGTCCTGATCTCTTGGACCACAGGAGTCCAAGATATTGTGGTCACCCACCGTTGGATATTAATCCAATGATTCAAAATAGTTTCTTAAAAAGAGTGCAAGAGTGAGTGAACCGTTGAATTTACATCCAACGGTGAGTAACCACAAATCTCTTGGACCCCTGTAATCCAAGAGATCGGGACTGTATACAGGGGTCCAAGAGATTTGTGGTCACTCACCATTGGATGTAAATTCAACGGTTTAGTCAATCTTGCACTCCTTTTAAGTAACTTTTTTGAACCATTGGATTAAAATCCAACGGTAGGTGACCACAATCTCTTGGACTCCTGTGGTCCAAGAGATCGGGACTGAGAGTTTGAAATAATACCAAGAAGATCTGAACAAGAATGAGTCGTTGGGAGATAAAGTAGAAAAGTCGTTGGGATTAACAGCCACAGAAACTTAAAATTCAAGATCTGTAAGAAGACAACTTTGGAGAAATGTCAGATGACCATACGGATTGATACCAACAAACATAGATCAATAACAAACGAGATGGACTGCTCGAAAGATTATGTGAACAGTTCCACGGGAACCAAGAAAAATATTGCAGCAAATGCAAAATTAAAAAATGGATCAATACAAGTGAGAATGGAACTCAATCATCTCCAACGAACAACCCCAACTTTTTTTTTTCACCAAATGAAGAACCCCAACCATCTCTATCCCAAACCATGTCATATCTGATCTCAATTTTCCATGTGTTTGTTTTTTAAAATTTATTGAATTGATATGGTAACCAAAACATATTCTGGTATGAAGGTTCTTAACTGATAAGCAAATTAGTTAAAGGTGGAGGTGAATTGGTTTCAAGATACAAGGATTTGTAAAAATTATTTCTACAGGTAAACGCGGAGGAAATAAAGAAATAAAGAAAGAAGAAGAAAACTAGCAGAGGAAAAGAATAAGAAAAACATAAAGAAAGAGGAGAGATGCATAAGGGATAAACGGGAAACAAATGGAAAGAGAGAGAGAAGGTATAATGCAGAAAAAATAAATAAAGAGAAAGAAGAAAGCCAACAAGGGAAAATAAGAATTATAAAAATAAAAATAAAGGGAGAGAGAGAATAGATAAAGGGAGTTTCACTAAAATACCCAAAATGGGGGCTGAAATTATAAAAATACCCAACACCCAAAACACTTTATAAACATACCCAAAACTCATCATTACACACACTCAAACCCCATTTATAAACATACCCAAAACTCATCATTACACACATACCCAAAATCCATTTTGGGTATGTTTCTATGTTTAAATAGTGC